TGAAGGAAGGGAAGATCACACAGAAGAAAACCAAATGCCATAGTTACTATACTTGTCTTTATTCCTCATGATTGGTATTGTGCCTGGCATATAGTAGAGGTTGCATCTGATGGAAGGGAATCAGGAATGGTTCACAACAGGTGTTATATTTGAGTTGGTTTTAAAAAGCCATTCAGGGGCGCCTGGGTGGCTCGGTCGGTTGAGCGTCCGACTTCAGCTCAGGTCACGATCTCATGGACCGTGAGTTTGAGCCCCGAGTCAGGCTCTGGGCTGATGGCTCAGAGCCTGGAGCCTGCTTCCAGTTCTGTGTCTCCCTCTCTCTCTGCCCCTCCCCCGTTCATGCTCTGTCTCTCTCTGTCTCAAAAATAAATAAACGTTAAAAAAAATAATAAATAAATAAATAAATAAATAAATAAATAAATAAATAAAAATAAAAAGCCATTCAATTCTCGGTGGCTCCCTGATACCGTTCTCCACTCTGATGCAAAATCTGAAGCCAACGTTCAAGGTTCTTCACGTTCTGGTCCCTGTATATCATTCAATCTCTATCTCTCTCTTACCCAGAACTAGGTGATAGCTTTGCTGTAGCTCAGATACCTCCCGTAACTTTCTACTTCCGTGCTCACATTCATGCCATTCTTCTACTAAAGGAGTACATACTAAATGTCCTCCAATCTCAACACAATCCAATTCCATTATCTCTCAACACATCAAATTCCTCCTGTTTTATACAGAAGAACTTATGGAGCCTTTCCTGATCCCTCCAATCATATGTTCTGTCTCCCCTCTTTGAAATTCCGCAAGATTTACTGACATTTCTCTTCTGGTATATATGCCAATTAGCCCTGCGTTACAGCCGGGTAATGTCTTTGTCTCAAGATAATAATCTGTGACATTAGACACTACATTATTCATCCATATTGCCAAACAAATGGTAGGTTATCAGTAGCTTATGTGACAGGGCAAATATAGAAAGGACAGTCTATAACTCAGAAACGAAATAAACAATGGCACTAAGTTAAGAACATTTGTGGCTTATGCCTAAAATGGTGACTACTGCAGTATGTTGTTTTTTTTTTGTTTTTTTTTTAAGTTTATTTATTTTTGAGAGACAGACAGAGGACAAGCAGGGGAAGGGGACAGAGAGAGAGGGAGACACAGAATCCGAAGCAGGCTCCAGGCTCCGAGTTGTCAGCACAAAGGCCGACATGTGGCTTGAACCCACAAACTGCGACATCATGACCTGAGCCGAAGCCGGACGCTTAACCAACTGAGCCACCCAGGCGCCCCTGCAGTTTGATTTCTGAACATAGTGTTTAGTTGACAGAATCACAGTGGTTACGTTTGGAAGACAGGTTGGATTCAGATTACAGAGACTTGAATGCCAGGGTAATAAAAATGGCATATATTTAGCACTCAAGGAGAGTCACTGATGGTGTTAGGAGCTGAAGAGTAGCAAAACCTGAGATATGAAAATCAAACCAGAAGCACTCTGGTTGACATACCAGTCTTCTGGGAATTTGGTTGGAAGCAAGTCCATCCCTGAGAGAAGAATTGAGTCTTGGTATACTGATAAAATTAAGTGTATAAACCTGTAGATCTGTGAGTCCTGGGAAAGTCACTAAGCTAAATACTGCTGTGTAGGCTCCCGATAACCCGACATTTTAGTATCCACCTCAATAAAAGGAAACAGGCTCAAACCAAAGCATCATTACTAAATTTCCAAACTGGTGAAAAAGAGGACATTCTCTATTTTTTCCAGAGAAGTCAGAGGGGAAGAGAAAACATACTACATACAAAGGATGCGGAATCAAATAGCCGTGGATTCCTCAGCAACAGCACTTGAAGCTAGAAGACGGGGAAACTGTTTTTCAGATTCAGAAAGAAAAGAATTTCCACCCTAGAATTCTATGCTAAGCCAAACCATCAATGAAGGTGAGAGTAAAATGAACAAATTTTCACACACACAAAGTCTCTGAACGCTTATCTTCCATGCACCTTTCTCAAAACACACTGAAATAAAGATATTAACAAAGAAAAAGAAAAATGGGGCATAAAAGAAACAGGAAAGCCAACGCAAGAGTGAGGCACAAAGAATCCCCAGGATAACGGGGAGCCAGGACAGGATCTGTGCGCCCAGCACAAAGGGCAACCACTCTAGACTGCAAGAGGTCAGGGATCTCTGGGAGACGTTTCCTTAAGAGTACCTGATGCTACTTCGGGGCAAACAGACTGTGCAGGAAACGTCATCTAAGCATATGACATGGCTCGCTGGGACTACAGAATGATGTAAACACTGAATACTAATCTACCTAAAATAATACACCTTTTTGGGAGGGCTACAGGGATGAGAAATTGAGTAGAGGAGGGGAAAGCAGGGGTGAGGAAGGAAAGTTAAATACTCATCTTCCATAGTAAGAATCAATCTATCCTTCTAAAACTGAAAGGTCAAGGGGTGCCTGGGTCGCTCAGTTGGTTGCATGTCCGACTTCGGCTCAGGTCATGATCTCACAGTTCGTGGGTTCGAGCCCCACGTCGGGCTCTGTGCTGACAGCTCGGAGCCTGGAGCCTGCTTCCGATTCTGGGTCTCCCTGTCTCTCTGCCCCTCCCCTGCTCATGCTCACTCACTCGCTCTCTCTCAAAAATAAATAAACATTAAAAAAATTTTTTTAAATAAAAAAAGTAAAATAAAACTGAAAAGTCAAGAGGTGACAATCTAAGCACATTATTTGGAAATACAGGAGGTCTATGTGCATGAACATGTTAAGAAGTTGTACATGTTTGGGGCACCTGGGTGGCTCAGTCAGTTGAGCGTCAGACTCTTGGTTCCTGCTCAGGTCATGAGCCTGTGGTTTGTGAGTTCGAGCCCCGCATTGGGCTCTGCACTGAGGAGCCTGCTTGGGATTGTCTCTCTCCCCTCTGTGTCTGCTCCTACCTTCCTCGTGCTCTCTCTCTCAAAATAAATTTAAAAATAAAGAAAAGGAAAAAGAAGTTGTAAATGTTTAAAAGACAGCCACTGTGATACAACCACTTGGGATATTGGTCTGGCAGTATCTAATAAACACAGATTCACATCAAATCATTCCACTGCTAGGTGCAAACCCCACGAAATCTCACACATGTATATGGATGGTTTATTGTAGCACTGTTCGTCATAAGTAAGGTTTTTAAAATAACCTAAAGGTCCAACAAGAGAAAAATGGCATGTAGTATGATATATATGTATATATTCATGAAGTGTGATATATATAAATTCAATGTAATACTATACAACAGTGAAAAAATGGATTCCTGGAGCTCTGAGTATCCAACATCAATAAACCTCAAAAACCATGTAAGAGGAAAAGTAAGTAGAGAGAAAAGATAGAAAATTAACGTATCACACTATTTGCGTAACGTTTAGAATAACACCATACATGCACATATGATATATACACACACATACACACACACAGCAACTTCAGGATCATAATTCCCTCTGGGGTAGGAAGTGGGAAATGAGGTCAGAGAAGGGTTCAGAGAGGGTTTTGATTTTCCTTGTAATGTTTTATTTCTTATGATATATAGTAATACATCAGTCTCCATTATACTATCTATAATTTTTGTGTATAACTGAAGTATTTCTAGGAGCTTCTGTTCAAATTTGGAAAATTAAACTCATACATTGAATTGTCCATCTCAAAGCACGATTCGAGGACCATAATCCCTTATGCAAACTCACAGCTTCAGGTTTCAGAATTCTGAATTCTTTGGATTTTAGAAGGGAGCATGATACAAGTGCATGTATTACATTGCACGTTCAGTGGGATCTGTAGTCAAATGATGTTCAAAGTGAGTATCTGACACTACCCAGGTGGTTGTTCTCCCTCAGGACAAAGGAGCCACCAGCCTGGCCCCAGGCAAATAGCCCTCACTCCTTAAACCTGCACCGATTCCCTTTGCCCCTTCGCGGAGCAGAGAGGGGAGGCAAGTGAATGGGGACAGCAGCAGGCGTCTGGGAAGAATGTGGACTCTGTTATATCCAGATTTGTGAGTACCTAGAACTTCCCTGACTCCTGACTTACACCAGGTCACTACTGCCCACTGCTCTGCGGCCCTGACCTAATATGGGGCAAATATACCACCTGATCCCTGCTGAACCTATTTTCTGCTTTATTTCAGTTGCTGTTAGGCAGAACATTGAGAATGACCCAGCTCTACATCCCAGTCTGTGTCCTGCCTCTTCAAAGCCAGACCACACACACACACACACACACACACACACACACACACACAAATACATATCCACATTCGCAGCACTCTAAAGCAGAATTCCTTTCACTGACTTCCTAACTGATCAACCTTTCCTACGTTTGGCCGAATCTGCTCACCTGTGTTCCCCCAGGCCCCCACCGCTCATCACCCAGGGGCTCTGTATTTCCTGCTACTACTGGCATCTTGCTAACTCCCCCTACCTGGGTTTGGTTGCCCTCAGTCGCATCATGACATATAATCAGCCTCAGGAGGTGATAAATACCAGCTTGCTCTTAAAAGCCGATGCTGAAAAATATTTTTATTTTTATTGCTGATTAATCTGACTAATGAAAGAAAGAACACTGTGCTTAGCTCATGTCCCATTAAACATCTGTTATGGTCATCAAAACCTCTTGGCTATTATCACGGGTGACATTCTGAATTGATATCAGCAATAGAATCAATACCCAATTCCCTCAATACCAAATTCAGTAAGCACGGTATCCAACTGGGAAAAGGTGAGAGGAAATACCCTTCTCCTCCCTAATTACCAAGTGGCCAGTCAACCACTTTTACGTTGGTCAAGCTCGTTGATTTACTGTGTTTGCTAAATGCTCGGGCCTTACACAGAGCAAATGCAAAGGATAGCAGGCATGTCACAGTGTTTTCAAAGGGAGCTCCGCATGTCTTCCTTGGGAGGGCAGCAGGAAGCGAGCTTTGGAGCAGGATGTCAGCAAGCAAAGGGAGAAAGGCAAAAGCCCACTTACCATAGAAGAGGAATGCTTTGGTCATGTGATGATGTAGGTAGGTCCGGTTGATGGTGAAGAAACACGCATCCGCTCCGCACTGGCCTAGCCTTCCAGTTTCCCCGGTCAGTGGGGACCACCAGAGCATGATGGGGTAGTTATCAGTCTCTGATTTGTTTTTCCAGTTCAGGGCTTCTTTCCCAGGGAGTGGATAGAGGTGTGTAGGCTCCTCCTCCATCGATGCATGTCCATCTTGCCAGTTGGAATTTTTAAACTTCTTCCTTTCAAGTTTCCCCAGCTCAACCACTACCTGAAAGAGAAGACAATTATCACAGAGTCAGATTGTTTAATTTCCATTCACACATCTCCCATTCATCTTGATGACCGAGCCTTGCATTAGTTTCCTTTTGCTGCTCTAACAAATTACCACAAACTCAGCAATTGAAAAGAACACATTTATGATTACATAGTTCTGGAGGTGAGGAGTCTGACCTGGGTCTCACTAGGCTAACAGCAAGGTGTCAGCAGGGCTACATTCTTCTCTGGAAGCTCTAGAGAATCCATTTTCTTACTTTCCTATCTTTTAGAGCTACCCACCATTCTTGACTCGTGGCCCCTTCTCCATCTTCAAAGCCAGCAATGTTGCCTCTCACTCTTAGTCTATTGTCACATCTATGTCTGACCAGGGAAGACTCTTAGCTTTTAAGGACTCATGAGATTGCACTGGGCTCACACTGATAATTCTGGATAATCTCATCTCAGTGTGTCACCTTCAACCATTTACATTTACATTTCCACAAGTTCCAGAGATTAGGGTGTGGACAAAGCCTCCGAACTATCTACCAACAAGGATGTTTAACTCCACTGAACACACGCCAGGCATATTTCTGTATTCCATAGGCATCTGTAGAATCCAGAAATAGTTTTATCTCTCTTTTTTTTTTTAATAGTTTTATGTCTTAATGAAACCCATGAAAATCAGGGCTATTACTTGGCTATTGTTAGAGATAACATTCTAGGGAAAATTAGTTGTAAATTAACAATCAGTTTCTTTTTGGTACAATTAAAGGAGTAATAACACGGGTCTTACATTTCTAATAATTTCCACTGTGCTATCAGGTGAAGTATACAGTGAGTCCTGGGCTCCCTTCCATGTAAAACTATGTTTATTTATTGATTTCAGGACAGTGTGGGTCACTGGATAGCTAGGACATCAGTAACAGGAATCTGGAGGGCAGGGTGGACAGAGTGGAAACAGGAAGGCAGTTGTTCTCCAAAAATGCTGCCTCATCATCAAATTTTAAGGGTAGATATTGATACAGTGTTATAAAAAATGTGTTAGAGAAAGCAGTATAAAAGTACGAATTGGTCTGTGTCACATATAACTGAAACATTAGCAGTTGAACTATGCAACAAATCAATCAGTAAAAGGAAGGCACACTTTTACGTATTAACTCCTTCACCAAGCAACAGCGGACATCTGTGTGGCCCAGCCCCGACTCTCAGCAGCCCAGGTGGTGCCTTCTTTCTTGCTTGCAGCCCTAGTGTCAGATAAGGGCCACGACCTGATGATAGAGTCTGCAGCTCGCTGGTGAGGGTCTGTAACATTCACTCGATTCCCTGAGGGAGGCCAAGGCCAAAAAAAAAATGTCAAAAACCACTGAGTGACAGCCAAGTAGCACTCCAAAAAAAGTAAGAAATTATACTGGCTTGAAAAAATCATGGATCACTTGTGACACCAAAGTCAGCATTACGACAGTAAGATGATCGCTAAAAACTAAAGAAAAGTCTAGCCCCTGCCAACAACTTTGTCAGCATTTTCATGATAACTTAAGGTTGTGGCTATTCCCCAGCACCTTGATGGAGTGGAGTTGACTTGTAGCCACAAAATCTGTATCTCTTCACCAGACCTTCCCCCTGCAAATGTACAACCAACAACTTTAAAAAGAAGCTTTTAGAAAGCCATGGATAAAACTTCAAAGACAAATTTTGTTCTACATTTCTGATCAATGTCTATTATGTGAGGTGTAAGTTCATTTGCAAAGAATAGGGATTGCTTTAGGGAGAGATTTTTCTGCCAAATAGTTTTTGTTGTTGTTGTTTGTTTTTTCTTTTTTAAGTTTATTTATTTATTTTGAGAGAGACAGAGACAGCACAAGTCGGGGAGGCACAGACAGAGAGGGGGACAGAGGATCCAAAGCGGGTTCTGTGCTGACAGCAGAGAGCCCAATGCAGGGCTCGAACTCGCCAACCGCGAGCTCATGACCTAAGCCAAAGTGGGACACTTAACCGACTGAGCCACCTGGGCACCCCTTTCTGCCAAATAGCTTTTAAAAAAACATTAAGCCTCAGACATCACCACTAAGCGGTAAGACATATGAAGGACAGAGAAATATATTAAATAAAACTATGAGTAAAATCAGCCAACTCTAAAATCTGGGAAATTCCAAAGGATCAATGAGACAGTATTTTCAAAAGCCCGTGACATGGAATAGAAGGTGGGACAGAGGAAACTTTCATAGTAGAAAAAACAAAACCCCACAATTGGAGACACGCCAGCTAAATGTGATGTATGGGATTTGTGTATTCCAGATTCTAACCAACCCACTATAAAAGACTTCTTTGAGATAACTGGGAAAGTCTTAACACGGTCTAGGATATGGGTGGTGCTGATTAGTTACTACTAACTTTGTTGGGTGTGGCAATAATTTGGTTATACTATACTTCTAAAAGTTCCCATCTGTTAGAGAATCATATTAAAGTAAATCCAGGTAAAATAATATGAAGTCCTGGATTTGTTTTAAAATACCCCAAACGTATTCATGAATTATTATACAACCAAAAAGTAAATAAAGTTCAAAAACTAAAGATACATATACACCCAAAGAATTTACATGTACTGTATACAAAATATAGTAAAGCGTGAGTAGAAAACAATGTCTCAGATGAACGATTTCCTCTAGGGGACCACGGTACTTTAGCTTAACTGAAGATCAGCATAACATTTTCAGGGTTACGTTATTTATTAATTATGTCATAAGATCTGTTATGGCCTAAACTGTAACCTGCCCCCCAAATTCATACACTGCCGTCCTAACTCCCATTACCTCAGAATATGACTGAGTTAGGGGACAGGGTCTTTAAAGAGGTAATTAAGTTAACAGGAGGTCATCAAGGTGGACCCAACAGGTGGTCATCAAGTGTGACTGGTATCCTTATAAAAAGAGGATATTAGGACACATAAAGGTGAAGAAGGCAGACGACGTGAAGACACAGGGAAAAGACAGCCATCCACAAGTCCCGAGGAGAGAGACCTCAGAAGAAACAACCCTGCTTGCTGACACCTTGATCTTGGACTCTCGGCCTCCAGAATTGTAAGAAAATACATTTCTGTTGTTTAAGCCACTCAGTCTGTGGTACTTTATGATGGCAGCCCTGGCATGATTTTTTTTTTTTTTTTTAATTTATCCTTCTTTTACCCTCCCTACATGGCAACAAACCACTAGAAATACGAATGGTCCTAAATGTGTGGGCATTATATCTTCTCGTGCACAGTGTTTAAGAAAAAATAGCACCTCTGAAACTCTGAACACTAAAGCATTTATTTTATTAAATTTTTTTAATGTTTATTTATGTTTAAAAGAGTGCAAGAGACAGCGGGGGAGGGGTAGAGAGAGAGGGAGACACAGAATCCGAAGCAGGCTCCAGGCTCCAAGCTATTAGCACAGAGCCCAATGCGGGGCTCGAACTCACAAACTGCAAGATCGTGACCTGGGCCGAAGTCCGACACTTAAGTGACTGAGCCACCCAGGCACCCCTAACACTGAAGCATTTAATATACCCATGTGGACAGGGAAACAGCCCAAACCATACTACTGGTGGCAAACCGAAATCAAGATCCAGACAAGGGTTCAGCTCCAGTAATCATACAACCTCTCATACTCTGGAAGCTTAGAAACGACAGCCATACCCAAAACATGGCTATTTCTTCTGACATCAAAAGAAATGCTCTCAGCTTAGACGCAGCCGTCCCTCGTAACTGAAAAACAGTGCCAAAATAATTGTCTACTAAGATCAAAGCTCTCATAACATCCACAGAAAGAAGTAGAGAACCCCAGTTCCTCCTGCACAGGGAGGTCCTGGACAGCCACAGGACAGACAAGCAGGAAGGCAAGTATTTCTTCTGACCAGAGTCCCAATCTGGCAGTAGAAGGAGGTAGAATCCAGCACCAGACTGTCTGCCACAGTGCTTTTATACGCAAATCTCATTCAATCTTAATCAAGAAGATCACCGAGAGTGAAAAAGCCCAGAGAACACCTCTCTTTCCGTCAGCCCCACACCTGAACTGCTCACGTCCACAAATCATCTTTCAAAGTCCTTTGGATTTCTGGGGCGCCTGGGTGGCTCAGTCCATTAAGCGTCCAAATTTGGCTCAGGTTATGATCTCACAGTCCGTGTGTTTGAGTCTGCATCGGGCTCTGTGCTGACAACTCAGAGCCTGGACCTTGCTTCGGATTCTGTGTCTCCTCTCTGCCCCTGCCCCACTCATGCTGTCTCTGAAAAATAAATAAATGTTAAAAAAATAAATAAATAAATAAAAGTCCTTTGGATTTCAAAATGGATAGCTGGTGCTTGAACGGGTCCAAAATATATCTGAACTCCTATCTATATTCTTCCTATCATGGTGTAATTTTTATTCTAATTTGAAACCAGCAAATGAAGTTTAGAATCACCGACTAAATGAAATAAATCGGAAGACTAAAAACTGGTGTTCAAACACCCACATTCAGTGCTTGGTCTAGTAGCATATGTCAAGAATGACAAATGTATTGGGCAACTGGGGGGCTCAGCCGGTTAAGCGCCGGACTTTGGCTCAGGTCACATCTCACGGTTCGTGGGTTCGAGCCCCGCATCGGGCTCTGTGCTGAGAGCTCAGAGCCTGGAGCCTGCTTTGGATTCTGTCTCCTTCTCTCTGCCCTTGCCCCACTTGTGCTCTGTGTCTCAACAATAAATTAAAAAAAAAAAAAAGAATGACAAGTGTATTAATGTGGATGTTTTGTTGTTTTTTTAAATTTTTTTTTAATGTTTATTTATTTTTGACAGAGACAGAGACAGAATGCGAGGGGGTTAGGGGCAGAGAGAGAGGGAGACACAGAAGCAGAAGCAGGCTCCAGGCTCTGAGCTGTCAGCACAGAGCCCGACGCGGGGCTCGAACTCACGAGCTGTGAGATCATGACCTGAGCCGAAGTCGGACGCTCAACCGACTGAGCCACCCAGGCGCCCCTAATGTGGATGTGTGTGTTCTGCAGAATAGACCATCTTAATCTCAGAATAATCATGGTTCTTCAAGAATGCCACCTTTCAGAATTCATCGTAATAGTGGACTTGGAGAGGCCCATCCAAATTTGACCCAGTAAGACAGACTGAGCTCTGCTTTCTGTTCTTCTAGCACCAGAACCCTCCAGGAGTCACAAATTGATCCCCCCATCTCACTGGTTTTGTTTCTACCTGATACACCCACTCACTAAAACCTCAGTTTCAGCTACTAAAAAAAAAAAAAAAAAAAAGAGTATTTTCCCTGCCTGAGACAGAAAACCCCCGATCCTGAGAAATTAAGCAAAAAGCAAAGTACTTGGAGAAAATGCAGTGGGTTGAAGGGGGAAAGGGTGGAAAGGCTCAGGGCAACACGAAGCAGCCCAAATTCTTGCTACCTGGAGTGTGACAAGCAGAAAGACAGAGGCTGTGATGCAGAGGCAAGATGCCAAAAGCTGCCTCCTCTGAATCCACGCCATGCTGCCCGGCCCTGGGTGACTGACAGAGGGCCGGCCTGGCTACCAGGTGTTCTCGAGTCGGCCCACAGCCCAAGACAACTTCACGTGAAGGAACCATCTGGGTGCCGATGTCTTCCACTGCCATTCCTGCTGGGACCCGGTCGCCATGAAGGGCTGGGATCCGAGGTTCCGCGCGGGCCTGGCTTGGCATCGAGAGGAAACAGCATGCAGTCTTCTTAAACTATCATCAGAGCAGCTGGAGATTTCTTCAGACCAGAAGGCATCCAAAAAGTCTGTAACAAACGAATAATCTTTTAGCCATGGTGCAGAATATTTAATAAACGTAGTCTTTCAGGGCTGTCAGGTAGAAACCCAAGGCTTGAAAACGAAAAGGAACCTTTGAGATCATGTAGTCCTCACTCCTAGATAAGGAAACCAAGATCAGAGAGAGGAAGTGACCTGGTCAAGGTCACACAGCCCATCAGAGGAGAGTGGCAGATCTATATAGTTAGGTCCTGGGTCTAAAATTCTGATGCCACTTAATTTTCCCTGCCATCAGAAGATTGAATTCCACAAGTCACTTATACGGAGTCACTTCTTCCACCCAGGTTTCAAAGGACTAGAGAAATAGAATAGAAATTACCAGGATTATCCACCCACTCCCATATAAAGTAGGGAAAAAACAAATAAAAGTTCAAAAATGGATAATGATCAACAGACCCAAGCTTCCTCTATGGAAAACAACTTCAGCCACAACATAAGGAACACAAGGAATTCTGATTATTGATTTAGTTGTTTAGTCTTTTATAGCAAGTGTAACAAAGCAGTGGGTTCTGTGAGCAGTATGATTCTCTGGAAGTTCTCAGATAAGATTTCCATCCATCTGAAATGGATGATCGTTTCAAAAAGTTTTATTTAGTTTTTTTAAATGTTTATTTATTTGTGTGAGAGACAGAGAGAGCACAAGCAGGGGAGGGGCAGAGAGAGAGGGAGACACAGAATCCAAAGCAGTCTCCAGGCTCTCAGCTGTCAGCCATAGAGCCCGACACGGGGCTTGAACCCACCAACTGTGAGATCATGCTCTGAGCCAAAGTTGGACACTTAACCGACTAAGCCACCCAGGTGCCCCTCAAAAAGTTTTAAAAGTGAACTAAAAAGTTCCAAAGAATGTCTTTTTTATTGATTTTTTTAAATGTTTATTTATTTTTGAGAGAGAGAGTAAGAGAACATGAGTGGGGTAGGGGCAGAGAAAGAGGGAGACAGAGGATCCAAAGCTGGCTCTGCACTGACAGCAGAAGGCCTGACTTGGAGATCATGACCTGAGCCGAAGTCAAACGTTTAACCAACTGAGCCACGCAGGTGCCCCCAAAAGAATACCTTTTATTCCCATGGTTCTGTGAAGTCAAATGTCTTGGTCAAATGACATGGTGGAGTTCAGAATAGAGCAAGGATCAATATTCCTGAGGCTGCTCTACAGTACTCCAAAAATCTGGTTCTAAGATCTGATTGTACATCTCCCAGATAATAGCCTTAAGAATTAAAAATATAAAAATGATGTAGAATTCTGGTTAAAAACATTGGCCTTAAAGGTATACTCTCCTCTCATGCACCTACCTTCATTTACTTGTAAGTCCAGGCTAAGTCCCTCGGCAACAAAATGACTCTTGGTTTCAGAAATCACCAATGGTGTGTTTTTCCTCTTTTTCCCACAGAATTCCTGCAATCCACAGTGATTAAGGGAACAGGACCTAGAGTCAGCCGGCCAAGATTCAAATCTCAACTCTCCAGCTGGTTTAACCTAGCCTCTCAATATCTCAATTTCCAAAATGTAGATAATAAGCCTGCCTAATCAGAAGGTTATTAAGAATTCCTTAAGATTGCTGAAACACTTATTTCAGAACACAGTACCTACTCCGTACCAGTAACTATTTACTATCTTATCTGTAAATATTATAATTTTTATTATACTTTTAAGTGTAAAATGAAGCTGAATTCATATCAAGTATGTTGCTGCCCGACCAACTGGAACTTCAAAAGCAGAAATACTCGCTTTGCCAAAGAAAAGGAGATCACTAATGTTTGTTGAGTGACCTATTGTGAGAGAGGCCCTTCCTAAGTGCTCAGCGTGCCTGACACCATTCAAACCTCCTACAACTCTATGGAGGGAGCAAATTGCTGTCCTTATTTTAAGGATGAGATCCGAAGGAAGTCAAGTAACTTACCCAAGATCACAACTTTGATAAGTACAAGCAAAAACTGGTCCGGCTCTGCAGTTCATGTACGGTTTTACATTTTTTAACACTAAGATTATAAAATTCCCACCCAACAATACTAGCACAGATTATCTGCTTTAATCATAGAAAAAAACCTGTAGGGCGCCTGGGTGGCTCACTCGGTTAAGCGTCCAACTCTTGGTGTCGGCTCCAGTCATGATCTTGCGGTTTCAGGAGTTCAAGCCCCACGTCCGGCTCTGTGCTGGCAGCACAAAGCCTGCTTAAGGTTCTCCCTCTCTCTGCCCCTCCCCTGCTCGCACTGTCTCTGTCTCTCTCAAAATAAATAAACTTAAAAAAAAATTTTTTTAAGTCATAGAAAAAAATGTGTTCTATACAGCTTCTATACAGCTATACAGAATAGCTTTCTGTCAGCTGGTATGCCAGAGAAAAAAGTAACAAAAACCCATAAGAACCTGAGAAATGCCTTTCCTTCCACTCAGTCAATGCTAATAGCTATTAACTATATAAAATGTGAGCAAGCACTTTGAGTTTCAATCCTGGCTCTGTCATTTATATGTAATATAAATTTGGACAAGTTACTAAATCTTTCTAAGCTTCAGTTTCTTCACAATAAAGAAGAAACATTAACTATCATTATTTCTTTCCCTTGCAGAACAGAAAGATGATCAAATTTCTGTGTTATACACAAAGGCAATTTATTATAGCTATAATTAATGTAAACCAGATTAGGTCATGAAATATTACCACCTTAAGTGGGTGTCAAACTGTATCATTTTCAGAAGACTTTACAGGTATCACTCCACTTGATCTTATTGGTAACCACTCTGTAAAGTAAGCAAGGTAGGTTTTATTTTCAGTTCCCACAAATAAGGAAACTGAGCCTCGGCAAGTTGAAGCGATTTGCCCAAGATCATAGTTTTTAAAGGCTGGAGTGGGTCTAGAAATCAGGTCGCCGCTCTCCAGGATCACAGGAAAGGAAAGAGATGGGGCAAATAGTGGCAGCTTGTTAGGAGGACAAGAGGGTCAGAAATAAAGGAAAATAAAAGACAGGGAGAGAATGGGAGACATAGTTTGGGATATTTTTACAGCGGCTGCAATGCTGTCCTACGGCCCGTCTTAGGTAGGGCCTTTTTAAGTCTTTACATGGCTGTGTGAACTATGACAGAAGAATTTAGCGTTACAAATTCCCTTTCATCCACAGAATCTCAATTTAGCTCATATTCTCAAAGCCAGAGGTATGGTGAGGTCTCAGGGACCAAGCTGTGATGACATACCAACCACTATTTTAAAGAATAGAGCCAGTTAGTGGGGATGGGTTTATGATTTATCACAAGCAGCAATCAACCAGACCTTGGGGCACATCAATCTAATACATGGCATTAATGACCCAGGAGCTTGTCAACAAGGCAACAGTCCCCCACTGGAGGGACAGATGGGTTTGCAGAGAGCCTGGTGAAAGCCAGTAAGCACCAGCGCAATGGGATTCCAGGGGGAAAGCTCCCTTCTGTTTCGTCATTGCCCACAAGGTGAATCTCAGAGTCCACCAAGAGGGTGGCCCCAGAACACTCCTTTCCCGGATGAAGCAATGGGTGTTTGTGCAGACAACCATGGTAGGTAACATAGGAAATGGACGCTCACTAACCAACCTTCTTGACCCCCGAGCCGAGCATCTGAAATGCATTGTTCGGCTTGCGTGCTCTGCCTGGGGCTGGCCATCTGCTGCCCAGAGTGGGATTTGAAGGTGAGCGTGACTACCTCACACTCCTGCAGGTGCTAGTGCATCAACAGCAACGACACTTTCACTCTAAAATAATTTCCAATGTCTCCACTTTGTTTTGAATTAAAATAGAGGAGATATCTTAAAGCAAACTAGCAGTCTGAGGGTGCCAGCCTCAAGTTTCAGGCATGCAGCGCTGGTCCAAGGTACAGGGTCTTAGAAACGGAGCTCAGAGATGATTTCTGCCGTGTCTCTGAGGATAAAATGAGAAAGTGAGCATGGGAGATGCACGGGGTTTTCTGACCCTGACACTTTGTGTGTGTCTGTCTTTTCCTCCCTGTCCCCACTGGCAGGGCAAAGAAGTGAGGCAGAGGCAGGGAGTTGTGGGGAGGCTCCTTTGATCATCTGTCTTCTAGTAACTGGTGCGTGGATTGAGTTAATAAGCGACTGTCTATACAGAGTTTAAGGTTATGCCAGGGAAAGTCTTTAAATGGAATGTGTCTAATTACCAGATTTAAATTATTCCCACAAAAGCATAATTTCTCAAGTAGGTTTGACTCTCCCAAGGTACATTTTCATTTTATAATGTATAAGCCCTCACAATATCCCTGAAATATGGCTGCCCTGGGAAAGACAGATGATGGTAGGCTGGTGGGGAAGTCTAAGGGCTTTTGGACAACTCTCCAGGAACTTTTTAACCCCTCCATTCAACACTTCTCTTGCATTCCTATCTGGTTACTGCATAAGCCTGACAACTGTTGTTCATACCGGTCTGACCCCTTGCACTCTCTCCACTTGCCTGTAAGAGTTGTTTCTATAATGTAAACTGGACATCTCTCCTCCGATGAAAATCCATCGATGGCTTCCCACAGATTTCAAGATAAAGATCAAATTGAGTAGCTTAGAAAAACAAGACTCCTTGGACCCTGCCCTGCTTCTCCAGCTTCTAACCACACATACACTTCGTTCCGACTATTCCTTGAATGTAGCTTCCTGTTCTGTGCTCTAGTCTCTACCCAGCACATCCACACCTCTCTTCCACTAGCCTACCCATTCTCCTGGACTTTCCAAGCCACATACTTTGGCAAGCTTTACCCCTCCCAATGCCAAGTGGGGAGATCTAGGTCCACATCATTGTGATTGTTCCTGTCACAGCGGTGGAAAGAATGCAGGAAGCTGGCATTTTTCAGGAAACTTTCTGAAGATGCTTTATGAGATGGATATAAAGCAATTGTTGAACACTAAAAAGCTGACTTATTCTAACCTAGTGCCTGCGTCTGTTCTTTGGGCAGCTGGTGAACGTGGAGTGATGGTTCCGGCCTCCACTGCCATCCAATTTACTTTATTAACATTTGTTGGTGTTCATTTTCCTCACTCTTTTTAAACAGACTTCATATGTTGCTGAGCACTTATTTTTATGTAGAGTGCTTGGCGTTGCAGACTCTATCCTGGAAGTTCATCCTCTTCCACCAACCACACATTTCAGGGGAGACATGTTGAGAATAATGAGAGACAAAGGAATACTGGCAGCCATGTGAATCAAGACGGGTGATTAATGGAGGAACAGAATTTGTAGCCTGAGACTTTCACATCTCTATTATAGAAACGAAGGTGATGCCATTGTTAAACTCTTAAATTCTGCATATGCTGAAGCACTCAAATGATGTGGTATTAATACAGTCTCAACCAGTGGGTCTACTTAAGCTAAATTATAACACACCCAGACCAAAAAATGAAAACAAATCAAAAGATCATCTGCTTTGATCATTTATGTAATCATGAATGAGGTACTGGTTAAACAACACCAACACAATGTGGCTAATACTTCACATGCCCGAAGACAAAGGGCAGGACCAGGTGATCTGGGGTTTCATCCCAAAATGAAGCGCTCTGCTCCCACGAAGAGTGTCCAGGAGGAAAAACTCTCCACAGAAGAAAGATTAATCAAGAGACAGGTGATCAAGATAATTTGAGCCATCATAAACTAAGAGTTCTGGAAATATGAAGAACTATTTCTGTATAACAAGTTTAGGATTAGTTTATTTTCATTCTCTTTTTTAGCAACTCATCATTAACTTTTGAAGACTCAAATTTTATTCTCAAAGAAATATCTGAAAAACACTGTAAATAAAAACAAACTTTTTTTTTCCAATTTTTAACAACCCATGATGAGAAACACTATAAAGCTTATTGGGAAATGCTGGTAATTGAATTAGGTGTTGCATTCCCACTGAAATCGGCACTTTACGCTCCACATTTAGAAAGCATTTAAACATGGGTTGGAAATGCCAGTATCCGAGCAATACTTGGACATATGTGGATAACATTATTGTCGGTCCAAACTATGTCCTTTTTCTTTATTTTCTAAAGATCCTGGTCTGAATTTTTTTAAACATACTGTTTGTAAGATAAACAGGGTTTTGTTTTTTTTTAAGTGAATGAGGAGCCATATAACAGTAACAGTTAAGACTGCCTATTTAATTCAGTTACACACTGCCATCTAGCAGGAAGCCAGCATGGGAAGCCAGCAGTTTCAAAAATGGAGCCGACTTGAATGAGCCTCTGATGCTAGGACATTGCCTGTGGCTTTCAGGCCTAAGGAGAAAGTTCTGAGATTGAGGTTAGGGTGCTTCCTGACTGGTGGCTCTGCCACTTTAGTGTGCAAATACCTGGGTTGCTTATTCAACGGTTGACCAGACCCCACCTGAAAGCCCTCCCTTTGAGACCACGAGGTGGATCAGAAACAATGCCCTAGTTGCAGTGTGACATCACTACCAAGCCCAAGATTGGTCATGAGCTTCTGGGTTGTCTCATCTTGAGAGAAGGAAGGGCATACAAGAAGAATGACGTCCTGAAGACCCACTTGCCATACTGAAAATTGTACCCAGCCAGAGTGCATGCACTCCACACAATGAAATTAACAACCCAAGTCACCACATGCATTTTAGGGAGCTGTGGCAGCGAGTAGGGGGCAGTCTGTTGGAGCTCTGAAGAGAAGGAAAACAGTCATTTTGCGCGACACTTGCAACGTATCATTAAAAGGTGCCAGGAAGTGTCTTAAAATCACATCGATGTTATTTACACATCTTACACAAAACGAGTTCTACTCTGAGGGCGTCATCGGGTGCAATAATACCTAAGAAATGGATTGCATGTTGATAGCCTTGCCATTCAGAGGGCTCCCCCCATGGCATTTTCTCCGTTAAAAAAGCAGTGCTCGCTAGAGCTGCGCAGTCAGAATCGCTACTACTTCAGCACACAATTCCAGCAACAAGTGATTCTCACTGAAGACGTGGGGAAGAAGGAAGCAAGTCGCAACACACAAGCGGCAGAGTGAGATTTTCGAATCGGTGGGGCGGGGAAGGTCACGGCAAACCCGCAGGGACGTGAAATCCCCCAGTCGCCCGCGGCTAAGACCCGCGCGCCTTCCCGGTGCTCCTGCGCGTCACCGGCCTCCCATCTGGGCTTTTTCGGCCCAAGATAGGTTTAAATCTCAGGCGGTGTCTCTGGAAAGCGCTGCCCAAGGCTTCCCAAAACGGACTTCGAGTCTTTTTCAGCACGCAACTCTTTCTCTTACGCACACTCCCTTCTGGGCACAAAGAGGAGGTGTGCTCCGGGTGCGTCCCGGCTTCCGTGCGCACCAGAAAAGTCTCCTTTTGTTTCTGGGCATCAAGACCCTGTCCCCACCAGGTATCATTGCAGCCCGAAAAGACCCAGTGCCTCCCACTCACCTCTTCCTGGGTAGGAGGCTCGCTGGCGGCTGGCAGCCCGGCCGCTTTCCACTTTCAGTTTGCGCTCAGCCGGGGCTCGGGCGAAGACTCGGAAAGGAGGTTTGGGAAAAGCGGCATCACTTTCCGCGCTCGCAGGCCCAGCGATCCTCCATCCAGGTTTTCGCCGTTGCCGGGCTTAAAGGCCAGTCCACAGAGGTTCCTGGGAGTTTCTGCTTCTCCCTCGCTCGTGAGCCACCTCATTCCCAAAAAGTTCCTGGAAGACTCCTGAGATTCTCTTTAGTAAGTCGCGGGACACTTGCTGCTTCTCAAACTCTGCTAGGACTGGAGCAAATTCAAAGTCACCTATTCAGGAAAACAGAACATGCCAGGCAAAGCAGAGACCTGGGGATACATTTAATCAGGTACCAGTGTTTGGTAGACTGAGCAGGATGATCTTTAGTTTTTAAAAAGTGGCGAAAGAAAACTAACTTCAGGCCACTGAATCCCAAATTTAGAGAACCCGTTTAAAATTATTTTTCCCTAGTCTGCAGGGAAGGTGATAAACCTAGGGAGGTTATTGAAGATCTTGGGAGGGCCAGGGCTTGGTTGAGGCAAGTGAGGCATCTAGAGCTTAAAATAGGAGGAGACAGTGAGTCCTACAAGTGCCGGGCACATTGCAGGAACCTGAGTGTCATTGCTGCCCTGCGCCTGCCTCACTGTAGTCCTGGCCCTGAGATCTCCAGTGCCAGGAACCTCAAGTAACTAGTCTCTAAAAACTGGTTGATAATAATGGTATCAACTTCAAGAAACATCAAACACACACACACACACACACACACACACACACACACACACACACAGGAAACACCAAACTCAGAGGAAAAGATTGATAAATTGGATATCACTGAAAGCAAATTATGTTCACCAAAAGACACTTAAGGAAAAACCAGAGTAGAAGATATTTACAGTAGATTTATCTAAGAAAGAATTCATATCCAGAATATAGCAAGAATGCCTAAAACACGATAAGAAAAAAAAGCAACCTAATAAAAATCTCTGGGAAGGAAGGAACCGAAGACTTACACAGCACAAAGAGGAATATGAATGGCCAATAAGTATGTGAATGATGCTTAATTTCTTTAGTCATCAGGGAAAGGCAGATTAACACAATTATATACTACCACACATCCACCCATCCTAAAATGTGTATGGAACCACAAAAGACCTCAAATAGCCAAAGTATTCTTGAGAAAGAAGAATAAAACTGGAGGTATCACAATCCCAGATTTCAAGATATAAAAGCTATAGTAATTAAAACACTATGGTACTAGCATAAAAACAGCCACAGAGATCAATGGAACAGGATAGAGAACCAAGATATAAGCCCACACCTATATGGTCAATCAATCTATGACAAAGAAGGCCAGAATATAAAATGGGGCAAAGAGAGTTGTTTCAATAAATGGTGTTGGGAAAAATGGACAGCTACGTAAAAACAAACTATACTGCTTTCTTACACCATACACAAAAATAAACTCAAAATGGATTAAAGACCTACATATGAGACCCCAAACCATAAAACTCCTAAAAGAAAACATAAGCAGCAATCTCCTGGACATTGCCCTTAGCAACATATTTATGCACATGTCTCCTGAGGCCAGTGAAACAAAAATGATTGGGAATACATCAAAATAAAAAGCTTTTGCACAGCAAAGGAAGCCATCAACAACAACAACAACTAAAAGGGCAATGTAGTGAAATGGGAGAAGATATTTGCAAATGATATATCCAATGAGGGGTTCATATCCAAAATACATAAAGAACTTTTACAACTCGACATCAAAAAAACAATTGGATTAAAAAAAAATGGGCAGAGGACCTGAATATGCAGTTTTCCAAAGAAGACATCCAGATAGCCAACAGACATAGGAAAAAATATCAAACATCACTGATCATTGGGGAAATAACCAAAGGCACAAGGAGATATCACCTCACACCAGTCAAAAAGGCCAGTATGAAAAAGACAAGAAATAGCAAGTGTTGGTTAGGAAGTGGAGAAGAAAGACCTCCTGGGCACTGCTGGTGGGGATGTAATTGGTACAGTCACTATGGAGAACAGTATGGAGACTCCTCAAAAAATTAAAAATAGAACCACCATATGAAGCAGTAATTCCACTTCTGGGTATCTGAAAAAAGTGAAACACTAACTCAAAAAAAGATATACAGTTGGCCCTTCAACAATGTGGGGGTTAGGGGCATGCCAACCCCCCCCCCCCACATATTTGGTGTATGTATGATACATTGTGTTCCTACCGTAAACTAAGCTAGAAAAAAGAAAATGTTAAGAAAATCCTAAGGGGGAAAAAATGTGTGTACAGTACTATACTTTATTGAAAAAAAAATTCACATATAAATGGACCCATGCAATTCAAACCCACGTGTTGGAAGTGTTAATGGTATGCACCTCTACACTCATTGCAGCATTATTTATAATACCTGAAGATACAGAAACAACCTACATGTCTATCAGTTGATGAATGGATAAGAAAATGCAGTATATATACACAGTGGAATATTATTCAGCCATTAAAAATGAAATTTTGCCATTTGTGATGTGAATAGACCTAGAGGGCATTATGGTAAGTGAAATAAGTCAGAGAAGGACAAATATCATATGATCTCACTTACACGTGAAATCTAAAAAACTAAAACAGAAAGGCAACAGAGCTCATAGAAACAGAACAGAATGTTTGGGGAAGGGGAGAGAAATGGGTGAAGGGGGTCAAAGGCAAACTTCTAGTTACAAAAATGATGGGATTTAATTTACAGATGGTGATTACAGTTAAAAATAAAAGTATATATTGCATATTTGAAAGTTGTGAAGAGAGTAGATCTTTGAAGTTCTCATCATTAGAAAAAAATTATAATTATATAGTGGCAAATGTTAACTAGGCTTATTGTGGTGATCCTCTTGCAATATATACATATATCGATCATTATTTTGTACTACTGAAATTAATATGTGTCAATTATAGCTCAGTTTAAAAAACTATTCACTGGGTTCACCTGTTGGTGGTGAGCAGGGAAGGAGTGTTATTCTAAATCAAACTGAAAAATATATCACTTCCCCTACTTAAAACGATTTGGGTAGTGTGGTGTGGTGACCCTGGTGAGTATCGTCTACCTTTGGATTTCTTCCACATCACTATTATTTTTTAAGAAGCTTCATCTTTTTATTTATTTTTTTCAAAAATCTCTACACCCAAGGTATGGCTGAACTCAAGATCTGGAGATCAAGAGTTGCACAATCTACCAATTGAGCCAGGCAAGCACCCCTCTTCCACATTATTTTAAACTTGATTTTACTAACATAAAAGGGCATGTGTGTGTGTGATATGACTGCCCTTTAGGTCTTTAAACCAGGTAAGGCAAGTAGGTGAATGAGAACAATCACAACTGTTTTTTATGAAGTAATGTAAACTATGCATTTAACATACCTCTAGACCTCACATACCCGCATTTTTCAAATGGGATAATTTGCTAAAGGCTACCTGACTTGCCCAAAGATATTTAGTAAATACCAATTGTTTTTTATAACCTAAGTTTGGTTCCCCAAACCTCTGCTAAATCAATGTTTTCCAATGGTGTGGCTCTAATTCGTAGTTCTCACCAGCATGAAGCAAAATTACATTACTTATGATATACTTAATTATTTTATACCGTGATATGCAAATTAATCGCCCATCCTTATTCTGAGACTGTGCCTTTGTTTACTCTTTGAGTGTTAAACTGAACATTCTTTTGAAAAATGGTGTGCGCTAATAAAGGTTTTCTTTTTCCCATTAAAATAAAAAGCGGGTGAAAGCTGTTAGTCCTCCGATTTTTTAAAAAAATATTATCTAATCCATGAATTTCAAAGGTCAGGACCCAATTCCACACCAAACAAGAGAACAAGAGTGTCTGCGGGGTTAAGTGAGGGAGGAGTGAGCGCGGGAACCAGGGTGTCAGGTGAAGAAGGACAGAGTTTGAGCTCCCCAGCCTGGCGGAGAAGGAGTAAAGACAACGCAGCCCCGGCCTCCAGGCGCTAAGGACCGGCGGGAGGCGGTCCGCGCTTTCCCGGGCGCACTCCGAGACCGAGGACGCCCGGCGGCCGGGGAGGGACAGCCAATCTTCAGGGGCAATCACAACCCGCGCTTTGGACCACGGCGCGCCCATGGACCTCGGCCTCTGCGCTCCAGGACTCGACCGACTCCTGCGCGGGGTGGCAAGGGCCTCCTAGCCGGGTTTACTGTCCCAGGGTGAGAGCGGGAACAAGACCTACAGGGCAGCGGGGGCGCACGGTGACGGTCCGGACGTGGCGCAGGACTTGGAGATGTGCACGGAAGTTAGACCGCCAAGGGGCGCTGTGCAAGCCGGGGAAATCAGAATTCTCGCGATAGGTGAGACTAGGCTTTCCGGAAGTGATTCTCCGGAAGAAGCATGGTTGCCCCCCAGATTTGGCCGGGTTTGCACGCTGAGCTGCCGACGCTATGCAGTCAGATGATGTGAGTGTCCTGTTTCTCTGCCACCTGGGTTCTCCTGCTTTAGGGGGATCAGCAGCAACACTTAGCTGGCCCATTAGCTTCGTGTCGCTCCGGAACCGAGGCTGCCGGAACCCCCGGTTTCCGAGCGTGGGGCTCTCACGTGTCTACCCGGGATCTCGAGCGCTGCCTCAGCGGGGTGAAGGGGCCAGAACAGCGCCAGTCCATAGGGCTGGCTTATTCAGTCCCTGGTGCCCAGCAATGAAAGACTTTGCCTATGGTGTCTCTGGACGTGGGAGGCGCGGGTGGAGGTGAGGTTGGGGATGGTATAGCTAAGTTTAGACTTCAGATTTCCAGATCCCATTCTTCCGTGTTCACGTTCCTTTATAACCTTTTTTTTCCTGTGTTAGGATTTTCCTTACATTTGTTCATGGTCTGCCCACGCCATAATTTTTGGAAGCATCCTCCGTTCATTTAATTAGTCCTGGGAAATACAGAAGCGCTGTGTGCCAGGCAGTGTGGTAATTACTGGAGATTTAGTTTTTAATAAGCCAGACAAAAGACCTCTGCTTTTCTGGAGCACTCTGGTGGAGGAGACAGATGGTAAACAAGTGAACATATTTAAAACCATCGTACTGTGTAATAATACTGTGAAAAGAAGACCAAAGTTGATGAAGGAGAGAGTAATTAGAGACTACTTCAGACAAAGCTGTTGTGGGAAGGTTTCTCTGAATAAAAGACATTTGAGCTGAGATCTAAAAGATGAGAATGAACCGTCATGGAGGGGCTGAGGGAAAAGCAAAATATCTGGGCAGTAGGAACAGTACAATACAAAGGTCTGGATATAAGAGAGAAGGACTGTATTAAAGAATATTGATGTGACCTGTGCTATAGGAATCCAGGGAAGAGAGAGAGATAATGAAGCTAGATATGTTTGCGGGACAAGATCATGTAGTGTCTTTTAGGGTTTTTAATGGGAAATGACATCTGACTTTTGTGAAAAGTTGTCTAGTTTTGTGATAGTCTTTTCAAGGAGAGAAAGCATAAGAGCAAGGAAACTAGAGCATGATGAAAATAGTTTCAACCCTGGTTGTAATGGTGGAGATGAAAAGAAGTGGATGCATTTGAGATCTGTATTATCAGTATAACCAAAAAGACTATGTGATGGATTCAATGATGAGGAAAAGGGAGAAATCAAAGGATTTCGAATAGTTCATTGGTGGTTTTATTTATGGAGATGGGGAAGGAACACAGTATTCTTTTAAGGGGTGTGGACATGTTAATGTGTATGAGGCCTTTCAGGCTTCTAAGTGGAGATGTCAAGTAGGCAGTTAAATGTATATACAAGTCTGTAGCTCAGGTGAGAAGTCTGACCAGGAGATGACAACTTGGGAGTCATCAACTTACAGATGACATTTAAAGCCACAAGCCTGGGGCGTCTGGGTGGCTCGGTCGGGTAAGCGTCCGACTTCAGCTCAGGTCATGATCTCACAGTTTGTGAGTTCGAGCCCCTTGTCGGGCTCTATGCTGACAGCTCAGAGCCTGGAGTCTTCTTCGGATTCTGTGTCTCCCTCTCTCTCTCTGCCCCTCCCCCACTCACACTCTGTCTCTCTCTCCTTCAAAAATAAATAAACATTTAAAAAAATAATAATAAAGCCACAAGCCAGAATGAACTCCTACTTTCCCAGTTTCATTTCCTCCTACCTGTTTCCTATCATCGCCTGCCAAACACACATCCTATAAAATTCCAAAAATGTTGTTGTTTGTTTACATTTCTTTATGTATTAGGCTTTAACTACTTTAGCTGCTTTAAAGCCTTTCCCAGTTCCTCAGGGCAGCCCACTTAAAGGCTCTTACAAACTTCTTTTGTGGCACTTAGACTAGTGCTTTGTGATGCTTTGTTTACATTTCTTTCTCCCTAAGTAGAGAGGTAAAACTGTTTAAGGACACTACCTTGCTTCATTCAACAAATACTTGAGTGCCTCCTGTGTGTCAGGTTTTAGGATTGTCAGTGCCTTACATAAATTAAGTATACCATCAATGCTGAATGAATAAAGAACACATTAGTTAATAGAGGATAGCAGTAGATGATTTTCTTTGCCCAGATGAGATGAAATTATGGTACATATATGCAACAATCTAGTTCTGTGCAGCCTTTTACAATGGGTAATGAACATATTAAGAAAGTCACAAAATTAGTATCTCATTTTTGTTAAAAATATACATATAGGCATACTGTTGCTGGAATGCATATATAGAAAAAATTCGAAAATATTTACAAAATTCTAATGAAGTTTTATCTGTGGGTGAAGGGGTTGTGGTTACTGATAATTTGTATTTTTTTTCCCTACAAGAATCTGCATAAAAAGAAAACAAATCAGACATTTTTAAAATATTTATTTATTTTGAGAGAAAGAGCAGGAGTAGAGGAGGGTGACACTGAGAGAGAATCCCAAGCAAGCTCTGTGATGTCAGCACAGCCTGTCTCGAGGCTTGAACTCACAAACCGTGAGAACATGACCTGAGCAGGTGGAATCCAGAGTCCAGTGCTTAACCAGCTGAACCACCCTGGTGCCCCCACAGATCAAACTGTTTTACAAAGCATGTCTTCCTCCTCTCATTCCTCAAAGACTCCTTTGAGACCTCCTAAGTAAACCAGGGCACTGTGTTTTCCTGGGTTAATACTCCCACCTGTTGGGTCAGAGCAATTGAAATGTGTTCTTACCTTGTCTTGCAGGTTATCTGGGACACACTCGGAAACAAGCAATTTTGTTCCTTCAAAATAAGGTGAGTCTAGATTTGCAACTTGGGGAAAGATTCCTTCAGCTGTCCTCTCGTTAACCCCTCTTACAATTTTTGCTCTTTCCCTCTCATTCTAGAACCAAGACTCAGAGTTTTTGCAGAAATGAATACAGCCTGACTGGACTGTGTAATCGGTCGTCTTGTCCCCTGGCAAACAGTCAGTATGCCACTATCAAAGAAGAGAAAGGTAACTCTTTAGTTTGAACTTCCATGAGAACTAGCCAACAGCTTTTAAAAGGATATTCTTTCGTCTCTCTGTAATATTAACGGTATTTACTTTACCTTGCAGGACAGTGCTACTTGTATATGAAGGTTATAGAACGAGCAGCTTTTCCTAGGCGGCTCTGGGAACGGGTAAGACTTAGGACATAAAATGACAGTGACCCTTGATCAATAACAAAACTGCCACATGCTTTTCTCTCTTCCTTGACCATAGCTACATTAAACTTTTGAAGCCAACCTCATTAGGCCCCTGGGTATCATAGCAGTGAAGGCCCACCTAATCATTTACCCTCACTCTTCAAGCTTTCTTTTTCTGTTTATAGGTCCGGCTTCATAAAAACTATGAGAGAGCACTGGAGCAAATAGATGAAAATCTAATTTACTGGCCCCGTTTCATTCGACACAAGTGTAAGCAGAGATTCACCAAGATCACCCAGTACCTAATTCGAATTAGAAAACTTACATTAAAGCGACAGTGAGTATTTAAATCATTCATCTATTATGTGTATTTTTTTTAAGTCTGTCTTTCCTTGGATCATTTTATGGAGAGACTCTTAAATGTCTAGTAATGGTTCTTACTAAATTCAATTTCAGGTAACCTTGTATGATATGCTAGGAAGAAAGTTTACCTCTGATTAAAGTTGTGCCCTTTGATCTTTTTAAAAAACAGTGTGGGGGTCGGGGGGGCACCTGGGTAGTTCAGTTGGTTAAGCATCCGAATCTTGATTTCCACTCTGGTCATGATCTCTCGGTTTGTGGGATCAAGCCCCATGTCGGGCTGCATGCTGACAGGGCAGAGTCTGCTTGGGATTCTCTCTTTCTCCCTCTCTGTCTTTCCCCTGCTCGCACATACGTGTTCACTTGCGCTCTCTCTTTCAAAATAAATAAAAATAAACTTAAACAAAAATAAAAAACAATATAGTAGAACTTGATGATCTCCTCCCTGTCTGAAAATCAGCTTCAGGAAATTGTATAACTCCTTGACACAATCATAAAATTAGGGATTTAACAATGACCTAAAAAATGGGGATAAATAAGAATGTCAGAACTTTACTCTGGGTTCACCAAAAATTAATTTTAAAAAGTGATATGAAATCCATGGAATTAATTGGATATCTTACTAAGGAGTGCTACGTCCTAATACTTTTTCGTTGTGACCTGCAGAGAAAGCTAAAGGTGACAGTCTTCTACAGACAGTTTTTTTATGTTTGTTTTTGAGAGAGAGCATGTGAGAGTTGGGGGTCGAGGGGGGGAGCAGAGAGAGGGGCAGGGGACAGAAGACCCGGAGCAGGCCCTGCACTGACAGTAGTGAGCCCCATGCGGGGCTTGAACTCACAGGAGATTGTGACCCGAGTCAAAGTGAGACACTTACCCGACTGAGCCACCCAAGCATCCCTACAGAAAATTATTTTAGTTAACTGAAGCATTAATCATGAAGCATGGTGAGTGCCCTCAGAAGTCTCAGAATGCTCAAAGAAAACAAAAAGTAAAATAAGCATAAAAATATGTGTAAAAATGTGTGACTTGTAGTATTAACTACTTAGGGAATTACAGGTATATAATGTTAGCTATATTGAGTTGAGCCCTACAAAATCAACTCCATTCCTATTTTCTCATTTTTTTAAAGGAACACACAAAACATGCCCTTGGGTTTTCTGATAATGTGTTTTATTTTCCATAGGAGGAAGCTTGTTCCCTTGAGTAAGAAGGTGGAGCGGAGGGAAAAAAGAAGAGAGGTAACTTACCCTTCTTGTATTCATAGCTTCTGTATCTCATTGAGGGTAGGACTCTATAGGTAGGGATCATGAGAAAGATTCAGTCACCATTTCCTGTGAACTGTTTGGGCCTTGGGTAGTGGTTCGCTAATAGATAACAGTATTAGTTGCATAAGATATTGGATATTCGTATTTTAAGATTATGATTTTCAGGGCAGGTTAAAATAAGGGTTCTTGGAGATACATTTAATGGAGAACAGAGAAGTACCTTGTCTGAGATTCTTGAAGTTAAGTATTTTAGAAATCAGAATTTTGGGGGACACCTGGGTGGCTCAGTCAGGTAAGTGTCCAACTTTGGCTCTGGTCATAATTGTGAGGTCTGTGAGTTCGAGCCCTGCATCAGGCTCTGTGCTGACAGCTTGGAGCCTGGAGCCCACTTCAGGTTCTGTGTCTCCCTCTCTGCCCCTCCCCTGCTCACATTCTGTCTCTCTCTCTCTCAAAAGCAAACATTAAAAGAGAGAGAAATCAGAATTTTGGTATGTTGTTAATCTTATACATTGCATACTACTCAAAGCAGGGTTTGAGCATTCTTTTTTCTTTTTTTTTCCATGGTAAATGTACTCTCTAATTCCTATTCCCTCTTTCCCCCATTCCCCCCAACCCACCTCCCCTCTGGTAACCATCAGTTTTGTATAGTTAAGGATCTGTTTGTCTTTTTTTTTTTTCCTTGTTTGTTTTGTTTCTTAAATACCACTTTCTCTTTATCCAGTCATCAATCGACGTACACTTGGGCTGCTCCCATATTTTGGCTATTGTAAATAATGCTGGCATAAACAGAAGGGTGTGTGTAACCCTTTGAATTAGTGTTTTCGTTTTTTGGGGTAAATACCCAGTAGTGCATTGCCTGCATTGTAGTGTAGTTCCGTTTTTAACTTTTTGAGGGCTCTCCCATACTGTTTCCTACAACAGCTACCCCAGTTTGCATTCCCACCGATGGTGCAAAAGGGTTTCTTTTTCTCCACATCCTCACCAACACTTGATGTTTCTTGTGTTTTTGACTTTAGCCATTCTGACAGGTGTGAGGTGATACCTCATTGTGGTTTTGATTTGCATTTCCCTGATGAGTGATGTTGAGCATCTTTTCACGTGTCTTTTGGCCAGCTGGTATCTTTGATGAAATGTCTGTTCATGTCTTCTGCCCATTTTTATTTTTTTTTAAAGTTTATTTTTTTTTTTTATTTTTTTTTTCAACGTTTATTTATTTTTGGGACAGAGAGAGACAGAGCATGAACGGGGGAGGGGCAGAGAGAGGGAGACACAGAATCCGAAACAGGCTCCAGGCTCTGAGCCATCAGCCCAGAGCCCAATGCGGGGCTCAAACTCACGGACCACGAGATCGTGACCTGGCTGAAGTCGGACGCTTAACCGACTGCGCCACCCAGGCGCCCCTTAAAGTTTATTTTGAGAGAGAGAGAGAGTGTGTGTGTGTGTGTGTGTGCTCTCATGCAAGTTGGGGGGAAGGGCAGAGGGAGAGAGAGAGAGAATCCCAAGGGGGCTCCGCACTGCCAGTGCAGAGCCCAATGCTGGGCTCAAACCCACGAACCATGAGATCATGACCTGAGCTGAAGTCGGACACGGAACCAACTGAGCCATCCAGGTGCCCCTGCCCATTTTTAAATTGGATTGTTTTTGGGTATTGAGTAGTATCAGTTCTTTATATACTAACCCTTTATCAGATATGTCATTTGCAGATATTTTCTGCCATTGAGTAGGTTGCATTTTAGTTTTGTTGATTGTTTCCTTCGCTGTACAGAAATATTTTATTTTAATGTAATCTCAGTTTATTTTTGCATGTATTTGTCTTGCCTCAGGAGACATATCTAGAAAAATGTTGCTATGGCCAATGTCAGAGATTACCACCTGTTCTCTCTTCAAGGATTTTTATGGTTTGGGTTTCATATTTAGGTCTTTAATCCATTTTGAGTTTATTTTTGTGTGTATGGTGAAAGGAAGGGGTCCAATTTCATTCTTTTGCCTGTGGCTCTCCGGTTTTCCCAACAGTGTTATTGAAGAGACTTTTTCCTGTTGAATATTTTAATTCTCCTTTGTCAAAGATTAATTGGTGATATAATTGTAAACTTTTTTCTGGGTTTTCTGTTTTATTCCACTGATTTATGTGCCTATTCTTTTTTTTTTATTTTTTTTAACGTTTATTTTTGAGACAGAGAGAGACAGAGCATGAATGGGGGAGGGGCAGAGAGAGAGGGAGACACAGAATCTGAAGCAGGCTCCAGGCTCTGAGCCATCAGCCCAGAGCCCGACGCAGGGCTCAAACTCACGGACCGCGAGATCGTGACCTGAGTCAAAGTCGGACGCTTAACCGACTGAGCCACCCAGGCTCCCCTTATGTGTCTATTTTTATGCCAGTACCATACTGTTTTAATTACTACTGCTTGGTAATATAACTTGAAATCTGGAATTGTGATACCTTCAGTTTTTTCTTGTTCAACATTGCTTTGCCTGTTCAGGGTCTTCTGTGGTTTTACTATTTGTTCTAGTTCTGTGAAAAATGCTATTGGTATTTTGATAGAAATTGCATTAAATGTGTAGATTGCTTTGGTGTATGGACATTTTAACAAGATTTGCTCTTCCAGCCCCATGAGTCTTTCCATTTTTTTGCATCATCTTGAATTTCTTTTATCAGTGTTTTATAGTTTTCAGAATACAGGTCTTTCATCTTTTTGGTTAAGTTTATTCCTAGATATTTTATCATTTTTGATGTAATTGTAAATGAGATGGTTTTCTTAATTTTACTTTCTGCCGCTTCATTGTTAGTGTATAGGAATGCAACAGATTTCTGTACATTGATTTTGTATCCTGTGACTTTACCGCATTGATCAGTTCTAGTTGTTTTTTGGTGGAGCCTTCAGGGTTTTCTATATATAGTGTCATGTCATTTGCATATAATGAGAATTTTACTTCTTCCTTACCAATTTGGTTGCCTTTTCTTTCTGTTTGATGGCTGTGGCTAGGACTTCTAGTACTATATTGAATAAAAGTGGTGAGAGTGGACATCCTTGCCTTGTTCCTGACCTTACGGGAAAAGCTCTGTTCTTCCCCATTGATGATGATGTTGGCTGTGTGTTTTTCAAATAAGGCCTTTATTATGTTGAGATATGTTCCCTCTAGACCTAGTTTGCAGAGGGTTTTTATCACGAATGGTTGCTGTACTTTGTCAAATGCTTTTTCTGCATCTATTGAAATGATAATATGGTTTTTATCGTTTCTCCTAATGATACGTATGTATCATGTTATTTTGTGAATGTGGAACCACTCTTGCATCCTGGGAATAAATCCCACTTGATCGTGGTATGTTATTTTTTTTTTAATGCAAGAGGGGAAAAAAGTGATTTTTTTTTTTTTGAAATAAAATTTTTTTTCTTTTTTTTTTACTTCTACAGGCTGAAATATGAGTACTAGGAAGTAAATGGATTTACTCAAATTTTTCTGTTACAGGAAAAGGCATTAATAGCTGCTCAGCTGGACAATGCCATTGAAAAGGAATTGCTGGAGCGACTGAAACAAGATACGGTGAGAAAGCTAGGAAGTTTGGGATATAAATTTCACTTTTTAGACAGTAACATCATGCTAGGAAATAGTGGGAAGTGTGTTTTACTTTCAAAGATGCTAGAAAGATCTTCACCTTGATTTTGTTCCTGGAATAGAACAAATATACAGGCCTTGGCTTCCCCGTCTTAGTTTGTGAACATGAACATGAAAGGTGCCCTGGTTACCCTTGATGTTCCATCCAGCAAAGAGACCTTTCCCTTTGCACCATACTGTGAACTCCTGTTCCTGACGCAACGGTTTCAGAGCTCTAGATAAGAAAAGGCATGCAGTTCTGATCCTCCTGCATATTACCCTAGTCTATAAAAGGAGTTTATAGTCTATAAAAGGAGTTACCTAGTCTTTAAAAGGAGTTAAATCTTATTAAAAATTAGTGTCATTTATGAGACAAAACGGATAGAACTTATTTTTCCCGTATTATTTCCTATCAGCACATTTACATTTATTCTAACCCACTGATTTTATAAACTACTAAGTTTATAGTGTTTGGTATTAACCACTGATTACCTAAATGTCAGAAATGGGCTTGTAAAGACACTGTTGGCTCTAGGCTTGAAATTAATATAGAAAAATTATCCATCACATTAAGTATTCTCATTTAATCACTGAGGAGAAAACAGTATGTCATCGGACAGTGGACTTCAAGTGCAAAATCCAGATGTTGTTAAAGCCAGTCTGTATTTATGTTCTTCAGTATGGCGACATCTACAACTTCCCCATTCATGCCTTCGACAAGGCCCTGGAACAGCAGGAAGCAGAGAGTGACTCTTCAGATGCTGAGGAAAAAGATGATGAAGAAGTAAGCCTTGTTTGTTCGTTTGTGCTTCCTAAAGCAGTAACCTGTAGACCTAGATCTCTTCATATGTACTTGAGTGACAGAAGAGCATTTTCACTCCCCTACCCAAAAATAATTATTTGGTCCTTTTTTTTCTATCATGAGATTAATTTTAGTTCAGTCAACAAACTATTAACACGTTGGATTTTAATCTTATTTATTGGCATTCTGAGATTTTTCTTGCAAGGGGACAAATGAAGAATCCTCATCAGCTGACAGAATATACCATTCAGGAACCTGAAATTTATACAGGATTTAATTTCACTATTAATATAGGGGAGGTACTTGAGTGATAGTCTTTTAGAAAAAGGCCAGATTTAGCAGGTAATTGCTAATCACATGGTGCGCTCATACAGGCACATAGGTGTACTTTTCCTAGTAGTGACCCTTTTTTGATATTTGAAATTAATAGATTTAAGTGTTTGTAAAGCCTTTCTAATGTACTTTTTTTTTTTTTAGCAAATTAAAATGATCTAATGATTTGTATTAGGCATGAGAATTGATATCCCTAAAATGTTTTAATTCAGAAGTATTAAACTTGGAAATAATTAGATTTTGGTTGGGACTAAGTAAGTAGACTATGATTCTGTTTGTTACTGTTGCACTTATCAAAGAATAGAATTAGATGTGTGAGCTGAATTTTCATTCTGTATTTTCAACTTAACAGTTATGTTTTTGTTTTAGGATGTGGGAAAGAGAGAGTTTGTGGAAGATGATGAGGTGGATGAGAGTGACATAAGTGATTTTGAGGTGAGATTTATGGGCAAAAAATTCACCTATGACCTTCAGAGAACAGAACGTTTCTGAACACACACAGAGGCAGATAAATTACCTAGCTCTAAATTGAGAGGACGATGAAAGGAGTTTGGGAGATGCATCTAGCATTTTCTCTCTTTTTTTCCTCTCTCCATATCAGGATATGGATAAGCTGGATGCCAGTAGTGATGAAGATCAGGATGATAAATCCTCCAGTGACGAAGAAGAAAAGGCCCTTGATGCCACACATAAAGGCAAAACACCCTTGAAAGGACCTTTGCGGAGGAAACGAGCCTACGTAGAGATAGAGTATGAGCAGGAGACAGAGCCTGTGGCCAAGGCCAAAACCACATGACTTCCCTTCAGACATCTGCAACAGGACTGAACATTTTCAGTATCCTCCTTTCTTTTACCTTAACCATGTATATACCTCCAGGTTTTGCTCTTTCATACAGTATTTCACACAATATTTGTGTCTTTAATATTTATGCTGCTTCTGTGGGGCAAGGAAATCTGGGAGTGGAGAAAGCCTTAAGTTGTGAACAGAGTATTTTTATAGTGTTGGCATATGTTTTGAAGTAACAGCTTGAGCCCAAGAAGCTTAACAGATGAATCTGTGGGTGTAAATATTTCTAAATTTTAAATGCTACCCACCTGTTTTCCTTGGTATCCTTCTCCCCCACCCCCCCTCAACTTTATTTAGAAATGTTCAGATTTCAGTTTTTTCTTACTCTCCTTTCCCTACTTCTGTGGGAATAAAAGAAGGAAAAAGAACTAAGTTACACTGTTGAGTGTAAAAATACCTTTTTTCTTAAATGATTCCATGTATACAGTTGGAACAAGAAGAAAAGTCTTCCTGTTTTAGGAAAATAAGACAAATCTTAAGTTCCTTCGTAGGGCGTGCCTTCAGAAACCTGCCGGACTTTTCTGATACAGTTCACCACCTTGCTGTCTTCACAGCTTTGGAGAATTTTGACCAGGAGACCCTGAAATATGAAACCAAACAGGCTTTTTCTTTTTAATTGATACTTCTGTTCCTTTTACCTTGGTTCTTGTTTCTTGGTACCATATTCAAAGAAAGAAAGAAAGAATGGATGAGACTAGGGAACAGTTCATGGAACAGGTGTAATTTTAAAAGCTGTGTTGGCATGTGGGCAGATGTCCTGTTGGCTCAGGAAGCAGCAGACTGATCCCAGCCGATGCAAATTAGATTAGATCCAGGACTCGAAAACTGCCAGAGATTAAAGAGCCAATACGAAGTAATTTGAATAAACTGATAACACAACAAACAATACTCTATAAATATTGTTGGGATATGAATTTTTTTCATGCTGCTTTATAACCTGAAGATTTCTAAGTGGGATAAGAAATGAGGCAATAGTTTATAAATATATGTAAATATACACACAGCCATTATATGCTTTGGCTATGACAGGTTAACTTTTGTGGCATGTGAAACTAAAGAATTCCCATGTGGAAAAGTAAGGATAAATAAAAATACAGGTGCCCTGGAAAAACTGGAAACATTTCTGGGATCTGAATTACTCATATTATTACTTCTTGGTGGCTTATAGCTCATTATTTCATCCTTAAAAAAAAAATCAGATATAACAGAACTTAAATTTTAAGAACTCTTAGTCTTTTGCCCATTGTCTATCCTCACCCCAGAGACATCTCCTGAGCCTCTTGCCTTTTGGCCTAAATACCTCTGAATAGCTTTAAAAGCTGAATAAGTTAATCCGCCTTTATTGAAGGTTAGAGGGCTCCCAGGTGAAAACCTGAACCATGCATGTTCATTTACAGACTTGGTCAGGCATGTGAACAGTAAATTATAATCAATCATAGGAGCTTCCTAAGGACCAGGTTGCAGACTCTTACCTTCACTTGTCCTTGACAACAGTGGTCCAGGAGAATCAGGCAATCTGTGGCCTCTTCTAACAAGGCGCTCTTAACAGGCTCAGGTGTAAGGTTTGGATCCCTTGCTACATCACAGATCAGTTTCAAGAGAGCCTTCAATAAGACCACACGTCTACAGGAAACTCTGGAATCAGGAAGAAAAAAGTCACATTCATACTCTAAAATCAGGATATTAAAACTGAGACTTCCAAGGCCGTCTAAGTTGTAAAGCCCTCATTGCCTAAATGAAGGAACTGAAGTTAAATGACTTAGGAGACCAGGGAGCTGGTGCAGAACTAGAGACCAGACGCCAGATTTCTGAACTCATTTTGAGCCCTTTTTTCTGCAGCATGGCTCCAATACACATACTCTGGCCTGCCAAGCCAGAAGCTTGGTTCTACTGTAAGGAAATCGCCCCACCTGGAAAGTGAGAAGTGGGATCTCCCCTTACCAGGGGCTTTTACTTTGGGCCAGAGAACAGGAGATGGCCCACAGTCCTTTAACTTATACAGTCATAGGCCTGGAAATTTAAAATGAAGTGAAATATGCTTGGCTTCTGGGACCTAACTGTAATTAGAATTTTCTGTTATTTAATTCCAGATCCTAGCTTTTACCCTCAGTTAAGCCCAGCCCATTTAACTTCAACTTCTTAGCATTTTTGAAAGTTTTTATTTTGATGAAAAAAAGTTCTGGAAAAGGACAGTGGTGATGGTTGTACAAAATCGTGAAGGTACTTAATGCCACTGAATCCATTTTAAATGGCAAACCGTATGTAGTTTTTCTTACAATAAAAAAACAAAACAAAACAAAACAAAAAAACCTTAAAAGCCTTAATGGAAGCTGAACAATAATGGAACTTGTAGTGCAAAAATATGCACAGTAAACCATATCTCTGGACAGAAATGTGACTGGGAGAATAAAAGTTTACATCCCTTGATCTAGTAAGTACTTAACGATTTCCTATACTGTTTGCTGCTCAGTCCTCCACCTATCGTCAACATAAAACCTGCTGTTTCCCACTCCCCAGCGCCCCCTCGTGCCATACAGGGCACTGATTTTCTCACCTTCCTACTTGGGCTTGCCAATCCTGACTTGGAAGCTTAGTCTCTGCTCTTTAAAGGCCTGCCAATGTTAACTGGATTCAATTTCTTTCATCCATCTATTCAGTCTATTTTAGTCTATTCATTCTTCAAATATTTGTGTATTTAAGAACCAGGTACTGGTTAAACTTTCATATACTCAATATACCAAAGTAGTGGTGTTACAGTTCAGTGGAGGAGAAAGACTGTAAGTAAACCAAGGCAGTCCAGTTCCAGATGTAACTAAGGGAAAAGGTTGGATACATCCTAAGGAAATGAGAGTACTGTGGTTCAGAACAGATACAGATGTTAGAGCACTGGACTCCAGCTGAATTAAACTTTGTTGATGCAAGAAAGTATTTTGCTGACTTAACATGTTTCCCTTCCACTTTATTGTTCCTGACACCACCTCAAGCCAGAGTTGGAATGCTTTCTAAGCAATGATATTCTCAGTATTCTCCTGGTCACTGCTCCACACATGTTCAGTAATGAGCTATGAAGTTCTCTGTTCTCAATTAGATTTCAAAAACTTTAGGGTGAACAAAGTTAAGCATGTCTATTACAGCACTTCTAAGTGGACTCTGAAATTCTAATATGCATTATAAATTGAGGGATATACACCTGAAGTAACAATGGGTGTATTTTATCTTTTCAATGCAACTTCAGTTCAAAATTCAATAGCAATGTAAAAACAGGCCTGTCCTTAATACTTTGTACTGAAAGTATACCTGGACAAGTTCTGAAGTGAAAACTGGCTGAGTTTTGTCCCTCTTGGCCCACCTCCCTGCTTGGCTGTTTTACCTGGGCCAAGTGTACTGCATGAGAAGTTTTAAGGTTTCCAGTGTCTTCAGTCTAGCCTCCTCCTCTGGCCCATCGTAAACCTCCAGGTAGCCGATGATGACTCGCTCCAGCCTCTTCAAGTGCCGGACAGTTAGGATCCCCAACCTGAAAAGGGAAGAGAAGATGTGGCACCACAGAGATGAACTTGAGGGGTGCGGCCAGACCAGCAGCCGGGCACTCGCCTCTTCACAAACGCTGGCAGGTTTCTTGCATAGGTCCTGCGTAAGAGAAGGCGGTGCTCTGGCTCCATGTGGGTCAGGATCAACTGCAGCACCTCGTCACAGTGTGTGGTGGGTCGAGCCCCACCTCCCTTCCAGTGCAGGCCTTTCTCCAGGACGGGGAATAAGTCCAGCAGACACGAGAGCACAGCCTAGGAGGAAGTAACAGAAAAGAAGCGTTCGTTCATTTGCATTCACTAACTCGTCTAGCACCCTTATTAATCTGTCCGTGGGGTCCACATTATAGAATTCTGAAAGATACTAGTAAAAACACAGGAAGTGTATATTATTTTTAATGTTTTTTTTTTGAGAGAGCGCATGAGTGGGGGAGGGCAGAGAGAGAGGGGCAGAATCCCAAGCAGGCTCTGTGCTATCAGTGCAGAGCCCAACATGGGCTTGGAACTCCCAAATCGTGAAATCATGACCTGAGCCAAAATCAAAAGTCAGATGCTTAACTGACTGAGCCACCCAGGCACCCCAAGTGTATGTTACTTTATATTCTTTTTTTTTTTTTTTAGTGTATATTTTTGAGAGAGAGTATAAGCAGGGGAGGCGCAGAGGGAAAGAGACAGAATCTGAAGCAGGCTGCAGGCTCTGAGCTGTTGGCACAGAGCTCGATGTGGGGCTTGAACTCATGAACTAAGATCACGAGCTGAGCGAAGTTGGACACTTAACCAACTGAGCCACCCAGGCACCCCTTACTTTATATTTTCAAATTTGTTTTATGTTATCTCCAAACAAGTTAACATCTACTCAAGACTGTTCTTTGCTAAGCTATGAAATGGGACTTCATGAGCACACCTGGGACTAACCCAAATTAATTTTTTTTTCATGTTTGTTTATTTTGAGAGAGCCTGAGGAGGGGAGGGTTAGAGAGAGAGCAAGAGAGAATCCCGAACTGTGAGATCATGACCTGAGCCGAAATCAAGAGCTGGACGCCCAACTGACTGAGCCACCCAGGCGCCCCAGACTTTAACTCAAATTTTAGGAGTCTAAGTCCATTGCCATTAAATAAGTTTAAGCAGTAGTTATACATACTTACAGTAAAACCACTCCTGAACAGAATCTAAGATGGTCCTCATCTGTGTCCAGTTTGACCTACCCTATCTGAAGTTTCAGTGTCAAGGCACTCCCTTCTAGCTCTCCTGAGATTTTTGGTTTTTCTATGAGTTTTGTTTTGTTTTTAAACCACCATCTAAAGAGCACTAAACTTTTTGGCTCTTAGTACCTGGATCCTCAATTTAATACCTAAATTAATATTTAAAATGAAAGGTGGCAGGGGGACAAGGGAAGGGAGGGCAGGCACAAAAAAGGTTATTTCCACCTCTGATTTTATATAACTTCTTTTCTCTGTCTTCAGAATGTTCTCCCATCCTAAGAAAGTTCTATTCATCCATCAAATATCATCTCCTTCCCAAATCCTAAAACCATCCCAACACCACCAAACCTGGTTAACTGCCTTTTGCTGGACATGTGCTGCCCTTTATACAAATGTCTTTTAATAGATTTATCACTCTGCACTGTAGACATGTAAAAATACTCATTTATTTACATGTCTTTCCAAAGGGTTTCTTTTTAATTTTTTTTTAATGTTTATTTTTGACAGAGAGAGAGGCAGAGCATGAGTGGGGGAGGGGCAGAAAGAGAGGGAGACACAGAATCCGAAGCAGGCTCTAGGCTCTGAGCTGTCAGCACAGAGCCCGACGCGGGGCTCGAACTCACAGACCGCGAGATCATGACCTGAGCCGA